CTTTATTATGGATAGGGTGGGTTGATTGGGTCAATATAGGTTTATTTATTGGTGGTTTGGTGGGCTACGCTGGCTTTGTGTGGATAGGGTGGGTTGGTGGGTCAGGCTAGGTTTATTTATGGTGGTTTGGTGGGCTACGCTGGCTTTGTGGATGGGGTGGGTTGGTGGGTCAGGCTAGGTTTATTTATGGTGGGTTGGTGGCTACGCTGGCTTTATTATGGATAGGGTGGGTTGGTGGGTCAGGCTAGGTTTATTTATGGTGGTTTGGTGGGCTACGCTGGCTTTATTATGAATAAGGTGGGTCAGGCTAGGTTTATTTATGGTGGTTTGGTGGGCTCGCTGGCTTTATTATATTGGGTTGGTGGGTCAGGCTAGGTTTATTTATGGTGGTTTGGTGGGCTACGTGGCTTTATTGTGGATAGGGTGGGTTGGTGGGTCAGGCTAGGTTTATTTATGGTTGGTTTTGGTGGGCTACGTGGCTTTTTTATTATGGATAGGGGTGGGTTGGTGGGTCAGGCTAGGTTTATTTATGGTGGGATGGAGGGACTCGCTGGCTTGTTTATTATGGATAGGGTGGGTTGGTGGGTCAGGCTAGGTTTATTTATGGTGGGATGGTTGAGCTACGGCTTTATTATGGATAGGTTGGGTTGGTGGGTCAGGCTAGGTTTATTTATGGTGGTTTGGTGGGCTACGCTGGCTTTATTGTGGATAGGGTGGGTTGGTGGGTCAGGCTAGGTTTATTTATGGTGGGATGGAGAGCTCGCTGGCTTTATTATGGATAGGGTGGGTTGGTGGGTCAGGCTAGGTTTATTTGCTTGTTTGGTTTGGTTACGCTGGCTTTATTTGGATGGGGTGGGTTGGTGGGTCAGGCTAGGTTTATTTATGGTGGGATGGAGGCTACGCTGGCTTTATTATGGATAGGGTGGGTTGGTGGGTCAGGCTAGGTTTATTTATGGTGGGTTGGTGGGCTACGCTGGCTTTATTGTGGATAGGGTTGGTTTGTTGGGTCAGGCTAGGTTTTTGTTTATGGTGGGATGGAGGGCTACGCTGGCTTTATTATGGATAGGGTTGGGTTGGTGGGTCAGGCTAGGTTTATTTATGGTGGGTTGGAGGCTACGCTGGCTTTTTTAGAATAGGATTGGGTTGGTGGGTCAGGCTGGGTTTATTTATGGTGGGATGGAGGGCTACGCTTGGCTTTATTGTATGGAAATTGGGTTGGTGGGTCAGGCTAGGTTTATTTATGGTGGGTTGGTGGGCTACGCTGGCTTTATTATAGTATAGATTGGGTCAGGCTAGGTTTATTTATGGTGGTTTGGTGGGCTACTGCTGGCTTTATTGTGGATAGGGTGGGTTGGTGGGTCAGGCTAGGTTTTATTTATGGTGGGATGGAGGAGCTCCGGTGGCTTTATTGAATAGGGTGGGTTGGTGGGTCAGGCTAGGTTTATTGGTGGGTTGGTGGGCTCGCTGGCTTTATTATGAATAGAGTGGGTTGGTGGGTCAGGCTAGGTTTATTTATGGTGGGATGGTGACGCTGGCTTTATTATGGATAGGGTGGGTTGGTGGGTTAGGCTAGGTTTATTTATGGTGGGTTGGTGGGCTACGCTGGCTTTATTATGAATAGAATTGGGTCAGGCTAGGTTTATTTATGGTGGTTTTGGTGGAGCTACGCTGGCTTTTATGGATAGGGTTGGGTTGGTGGGTCAGGCTAGGTTTATTTCTTGTGGTTTGGTGGGCTGGCTTTATATGGATAGGGTGGGTTGGTGGGTCGAGGCTAGGTTTATTTATGGTGGTTTGGTGGGCTACGCGGCTATGGATAGGGTGGGTTGGTGGGTCAGGCTAGGTTTATTTATGGTGGGTTGGAGGCTCGCTGGCTTATTATGAATAAGGTGGGTTGGTGGGTCAGGCTAGGTTTATTTATGGTGGTTTTGGTGCTACGCTGGCTTTATTATGAATAGGGTGGGTTGGTGGGTCAGGCTAGGTTTATTTATGGTGGGTTGGAGGCTACGCTGGCTTTATTATGAATAGGGTGGGTTGGTGGGTCAGGCTGGGTTTATTTATGGTGGGATGGAGGCTACGCTGGCTTTATTATGAATAAGTTGGGTTGGTGGGGTGAGCTAGGTTTTATTTATGGTGGTTTGGTGGGCTACGCTGGCTTTATTATGAATAGGGTGGGTTAGTGGGTCAGGCTAGGTTTATTTATAGTTGGTTTGGTGAGCTACGCTGGCTTTAATATGGATAGGGTGGGTTGGTGGGTCAGGCTAGGTTTATTTATGGTGGGTTGGAGACTAGCTGGCTTTATTATGAATAGGGTGGGTTGGTGGGTCAGGCTAGGTTTTATTTATGGTGGGTTGGTGGGCTACGCTGGCTTTATTATGAATAGGGTGGGTTGGAGGGACGGAAAGAATGCTTTATATTCAACAAAAGTAGAAAGAAGATGCTGGCTGATAAATAGATAGACAGACAGAAAGGTAGATAGATTGATAGACACAGAGATTAATAGACAATGTGAAAATAGTGTTGGGTCTGTTACAATAATTGATGGTTTAGCCCCCCTCCTCTCCCCCTCCTGCGTGCACCCTCACTATTGCTGCAAATTATTACCCAAAATATTGCACTGTTAGCTAATTCAGGCTTTTTAAGGGAGGTGAAACGAAAAATGAACGAAAAAAATATTGAGTTTTTTATTTCTGGCTCATAAATGTAGTTTTGTGACAGTGATAAATGACGTATGGGTGATACTCCTTTGATGTTGTGTGGTGTTATAGAAAATGGGATGCATGTTTTATGTTAGTGAAGTATGATATAGAAAATGGGTTGTGTGATATGAACTCATGAATTTTAATGAGGGTTTCTAAATTTATATTATTGAAGTAACAAATTGAAATGAGTTGGAGGTTTGTAGTAGTATTGATTGATTACAGAAAATTAGTTGAAAGCTTCATAGTAATTGATTATGACAGAAAAATGTATGTTAGTTTAATATTTAAGAATTATAGCACATATAAAAAATTATTGTTCGGCTTTTCACTAAGGTGTAAGCTTTAACTAAGGGCTTATAACAGAAAATAAGTTAAAATGTTTATGATGAAATTTTTACCTGTAAACGGGTTGTAATCATTAACCACCTGCCCCCACACACCACCTCCTCCCTCACACAAATACATACACGCCACCCTCCCCCCACACACACATTACCCACCCCACACACTCCCCATACACGCACACCCTCCCCCACACACACACATATTACCCCTACACACACCCCACACACCACCCTCCCCACACACACACACACACCACCTTCCCCTCACCACACACACACCACCCTCCCCACACACCACCTTCCCCCACACTCACACCATCCTTTCCCCCACACACACACACACCAGCAGTCTGTGATTGATTTCCTTTGAAGCCAATAAACAGAGCATCCCTGCTGATTAATGCCTGGCCAGCATTTACATAACATAATGTACAACAATTCCTCTCTCTCTCTCTCTCTCTCTCTCTCTCTCTCTCTCTCTCTTATTACAGATGACCATGGTAGCGTCCATAGTAGATCGGGTTAGGGGTAATTCACGGTAGATAAGGTGAGGATTTTTAGTAGACGAGGATGGTTCTTGGTTAGATGAGGATGGTTCATGATAAGAGTTCAAAATTATTGTGGTATGGTATCAAAGCAGTGATTCAAGGTATTAGAACAGTGACACAGGGTATCTGAGCAGTGACTCATGGTGACGAGAAAAGTCCATAGTGGCACTATAATGGCATTTAAGTAATGGTTGTAGTGACAACATATAGTGGCTTAACTATGTCAGAATGATAGCTTGGTGGCTAGGGGTGGTGATGATGGTGGCGGCAGGGTAGCGGCGGTCAGGGTGGTAGAAGAATTGGCAGGGAGGTATGGTGGTGGATATGGTTACAGAAAGGCAAGATTGCGGTGGCAGGGTAGCAGAGGAGCGTCAGAATGGTAACAGGGGTGCTGGATGGCAGGGTGGAAGGATGACACGGTGGCTTTGTTGCAAATTGGAAGTTACTTTGTGGCAGCAGGGTTTCAAAGTGGTAGAATGGTAGGGTGGCTTTTGGCACATTGCTGGTAGTAGGGTGGCAAAGTGGCGTTGTTGAAGCAAGGTGGCGTTGTGGCAGCAGGGTAGCAGGATGGCAGTTTGGCATGGTGGTAGGGTGGCAAGAAGGTTGGGTGGCAGAGTGGCAGGATGGCAGGGGTGGTCAGTGTGGCAGGATATCAGGGTTCACAGTGGTGGGGTGGTCATTGTGGCAAGATGGCAGGGTGTGTCAGCGTGGCAGTATGGTCATTGTGGCAGGATGGCAGGGGTGTCACAGTGACAGGGTGGTCAGTGTGGCTTGGGATGACAGGGTCAGGATGGCAGGGGTGTCAGAGTGGCAGGGGTGTGAGTGGGGTGGTCAGTGTGGCAGGGTGGTCAGTGTGGAAGGACGGCAGGGGTGTCAGGATGACAGGGGTGTCAGGATGGCAGGTGTCAGGATGGCAGTGTCCAGTGACAGGAGTGGCAGGGTGGTCAGTGTGGCAGGGTGGTCAGTGTGGCGGGATGGCAGGTGTCAGAGTGGCAGGGTGTTAGAGTGGCAGGGTGGTCAGTGTGGCAGGGTGGTCAGTGTGGCAGGATGGCAGGGTGTCAGGGTGGCAGGGTGGTCAGTGTGACAAGGGTGGTTAGTGTGGCAGGATGGCAGGGTGTCAGAGTGGCAGGGTGGCGGTGCCAGCCATAAATCTGGTGTAATCAGGGCTCAACAGGCGTAGCCAGACTATCAGGGGCAGGGGCCTCCGCGCCGCGCCTGGCCCTTTGTTCTCAGCCCGCCTCATTAACGCCGCCACGCCTCCCACGCCACCTGCTGGAGCCCCTGCCCATGAGGCCCCACCACCTGCTGGAGATCCTCACCACCTGCTGAAAGCCTTCACCATCTGCTGAAAGTCTTCACCACCTGCTGAGGATATTCACCATTGCTGTAAGCCTCTCAGCCTGTTGAAGATACTCGCCACCTACTGGGGTCTCACCACCCTACTGGGGTTCTCACCACCTACCGGGGTCCTCACCACCTACTGGGTTCCTCATCACCTACTGGGGTCCCTCACCACCTACTGGGGTCCTCACACCTACTGGGTTCTCATCACCTACCGGGGTCCTCACTACCTACTGGGTCTCACCACCTACTGGGGTCCTCACCACCTACTGGGGTCCTCACCACCTACTGGGTTCCTCATCACCTACCGGGGTCCTCACCACCTACCGGGTCCTCACCACCTGGGGTCCTCACCACCTACTGGGGTCCTCACCACCTACAGGGGTCCTCACCACCTGGGGTCCTCACCCTACTGGGGTCCTCACCACCTACTGGGTTCTCACCACCTACTGGGTCCTCACCACCTACCGGGGTCCTCACCACCTACTGGGGTCTCATCACCTACTGGGGTCTCACCACCTACCGGGGTCCTCACCACTGGGGTCCTCACCACCTACTGGGTTCCTCATCACCTACCGGTCCTCACCACCTACTGGGGTCCTCACCACCCCTACTGGGGTCCTCACCACCTACTGGGGTCCTCACCACCTACCGGGGTCCTCACCACCTACCAGGGGTCCTCACCACCTACTGGGGTCCTCACCACCTACTGGGGTCTCACCACCTGGGGTCTCTACACCTACTGGGGTCCTCACCACCTACCAGGTCCCTCACCACCTACTGGGGTCCTCACCACCTGGGTTCCTCACCTACTGGGTTTCCTCACCACCTACTGGGTTCCTCACCTACTGGGGTCCTCACCACCTACTGGGGTCCTCACCACCAACTGGGGTCTCCATCACCTACTGGGTTCCTCATCACCTACTGGGTTCCTCATCTCTGGGTTCCTCACACCTACTGGGGTCACCACCTACTGGGGTCCCTCACCACCTACAGGGTCCTCACCACCTACTGGGGTCCTCACCACCTACTGAGGTCCTCACCACCTACCGGGGTCCTCACCGCCTACTGGGTCTCTACCTGCTGGGGTCACCACCTACTGGGTTCTCATCACCTGCTGGGGTCCTCACCACCTACAGTCTCACCACCTACTGGGTTCCTCACCACCTACTGGGGTCCTCACCACCTACTGGGGTCTCACCACCTACTGGGGTCCTCACCACCTACCGGGGTCCCTTACCACCTACCGGGGTCCTCACCACCTACTGGGGTCCTCACCACCTACCGGGGTCCTCACCACCTACTGGGTTCCTCATCACTACTGGGTTCCTCATCACCCCTCAGGGGTCTCACCTACTGGGTCCCTCTACCCACTGGGGTCCCTCACCACCTACTGGGGTCCTCACACCCTACCAGGGTCCTCCACCACCTACTGGGGTCCTCACCACCTACTGGGGTCCTCACCACCTACTGGGTCCCCTCACCACTTACTGGGGTCCCCACCTACCAGGGTCCCTCACCACCTACTGGGGTCCTCACCACTACTGGGGTCTCACCACCTACCAGGGTCTCACCACCTACCGGGGTCCTCACCACCTACTGGGTTCCTCACCTACTGGGGTCCTCACCACCTACTGGGGTCCTCACCACCTACTGGGGTCCTCTACCAGGTCCTCCCACCACCTACCGGGGTCCTCACCACCCTGGGGTCTCACCACCTACTGGGGTCCCTCACCACCTACAGGTCCTCACCACCTACTGGGGTCCTCACCACCTACAGGGGTCTTCACCACCTACCGGGGTCCTCACCACCTACCAGGGTCTCACCACCTACCAAATGTATGTTCATTATTATTTTTATGTGTGTGTGTATGTATGTGTCATGTTAATATTATTATCACAGGCAATTACTTACATCTTGCTGGTAAAGTCCAAGATAAACCATCTGAAGATACGGGTAAAGAGCTTAATATCTTGGGTTGTCTCTCTGATCATATGTGGTTTTTAAACAGAGACTTCAACACCTTATATGTGGAGTTTAAGGTAAGGGGCTTAGAGTTCCTGGTCTACTGATCATTATGGTCTCAGTTTTTTAAGCTTTATGCCCTAAAAGGAATATAAGTTGTCTCCCTCTTGTCTACTACTGTTTTCTTATAAGTCTCCCCCTCATCTACCACTGTTTCTACTATCGTTTTCTTTGAAGTTTCTTTCTCTTTTTTAACTGTTATCTTCGAAGCTTCTAACTCATTTACCGTAGTTTTGTTTGAAGCATACTGTTGTTTGCTGCCGTTCTCTTTTAAATCAGCCTCATATGTGGACAGAATCTCTCTGAATTTTCCCCTATGTCTCTCACCTATGTCTTTTTTCCCCTCCTTTTTATAGCATTTTATTTCAGGTTTTCTCATCTGTCACCCTGTTTTGAAGATCCCGCCTTGTCTGCCTGTAGTCTTACACCAGCGATATCTTCAAAGACTCCACTGTGTCATCATCATTTTCTATATCTTCCCTTTGTCTTCCATAATTCTCCTACGAGCCTCCTCTTGTCTGTCTCCCCGGGTGTTTGATGAGAGAGATACACAAGGAAAAATATAAAATGCTATCTTTTACACTTTCGCTGCGAGAATTGTGAAAATGAACTCCTCTCACAGCACCTCTTGGCCTGTAGTCAGTGCCGCTGTAGCCTTGGTGTCTGAAGTTAGAAGAGTTAGTGGAGAACTGAAAGTGATAGAAAATTAATCTAAACCAAATTACAATCACAGGGTTATTATCGTCATTATACAGTAGGCATCACTATTAACATATTTATCAAAAGAACAGTGATCCTTCAGAACTTTAAATGTGTTTGATGTGATCTATTGGCTGCCTTATTGTCTCTGGACCCTCAGTATTTGTGAGGTTACCCAAAATATCATTGATCACCTCTTGTGTTATTCGTCTCAAAACTCGACGGACTATGGGACCAGTTACTCTCTTAAATCGTGGAGTGTGAGATGTCTGTAAATCTTGTATTCCAGGTAAACTCCAGATAAAATAACCACAAGAATTTGATATAAATGGTGAGAAGACGAATTGTTCTTTGCTCTTCGAAACCTCACGCGGTCACCACGCTTATCCTCTTGCCTTTGTGCATATTGTTGGTTGTGTGGTGCGGTTCCATCTTGTTAAAAACTTCATGTTTTATCACTCCTGGTGACACCTTGAAGCTGGCCAGGTTCCTTCATTCTCAAACAACAATCCTGGTTAATAGTGGCTGTCACACAGTCCTCCTGAAACAGTTAACAGCAGGACACTGTAGCCATTCTTGATCGCGTATTAGCTGTTCGCTAACCCTAAGGCGCATTATCTGGCCATTTACTGTTCACATAAGTGGTTAGGTGATCATCCTCTTTAAGTAAGCCGGGGACTTATATTACGGAAATTCATCAGTTGTCTGCAGTTTTCAGTTGATTGTTGCTGGATTCCGAGGATATTGTTGGGATGGAGTTTCAGATTAATAAGCGAAATTCTGATCACTGTAGATCTTGAGAACTGTAGCTACAGAGTATCTACGAAAATACTTAGGTGGTCTCTCATAACCTGTCTCACGCTCTTCACATTGGCCTCAACGTTTGCCTGTTCTAACATCAGCCACACCTGAAGTTTCTGGAACTTAGTCACAAATTTCAGCATCACTGTACAGTCTTGCGAACAATTCTTATGACTGATATTATGCCGCCTCGTGTACATCCTGCGTCACCAGCCTCACCAGACGCCCACCCGGGCACAGGTCATTAACCCACAACGGGCCATGGGAAGCCAAAAAATAAGAGTAAAAATAAATTAAAAATAGAAGAGAAAAAGACCAAATTAATCTACACCACGAACATCCTGAAACCAGCTTTTTGGAGTGAGACAGGTTGTATGAGTATGGAAACACAAAAGAAGGCAGAGCATTCCACAGTTTGGCTGTGTGAGGAAAGAAGGATGTACTATAACGGGTACTCCGTTATATAGTTAAATGTTGCTTACTACTCCACTACACCCGAAAAGACAAGATAAAAATTATAATTAGAGCACAAACCACAAGAAATTGGTATAAAATGGTCATTAAATCTAGTTCTAGGTTACCAAATAGAAATATAATTACAGTAAAATACATAAATTTCTGAATGGTGAATGGACACGGGCTCGAGTCGCGGACAGAGTGGAGGATTAGCTTCCAATTGTACACTAGCACCTTGCACACTAGCCCCTGTACACTCAGCACTCAGTAAGTACACTCTGGGGTGGTAGAACAAGCCTGGGGTGAACTACTGTCAAGGTGGTGGAGTAACTCACTACTGACAACCACGAGATCAACTTGGTATATTTGTACTAGTTTGCGGGAGAAATATTTGACGATTTATGAAAATTTCCAAACATCTTAGTTCAAGTGCGGATCACCAGACGCCCGCCCAACAAGTTAACAATCCATCACATCGCTGGGAAGTGACTCATGCTCCACCCAGTCAGACTTAGCCTGATACACGTGTGTTTAAATATCGGAGAATTTCACATTTGTGTTCCTGGTTTAAGAAAGGATTCCGGGAAGGAGGATGATAACTCCAAAGGACGCAGATCCTTCCATTACAAAAACTCAGTCCTGTATTTACCACACACACACACACACACACACACACACACACACACACACACAGAGTAAGACAAATACTTCAATACATATGTATCTCATAGTTTCTCTGAGCGTTAATTTTCAGCACCAACACTAATTCTTTAACCAGTCACGCCAGGTATATGAAGGCAGGTTCTTAGTGTTGCCTCGCCTCGCTGCTGCCAACAGATGAAACTCAAAATAAGAACCTAGACCCGAAACCTAACCTACTCTAACCTACTGAACATAACTCGATCTAACCTAACCTAGCCCTAACATAACCTGACCAAACCTAACTTATTCAAATCAAATCTGCGGTTTTGGTGCGAGAGACTGGGTCCGCTTCCGGGTGGGTCCGGGAATCAAAATTAATGTGGCCCTCCCAGGGACACATCGTTCCTGTGCGGGGCGCCTCACCCATCCCTCGTGTATATGACATAATCTAATTCTCCTCTTACCACTTGCCCTCCTTCTGTTAAGTGAGGTTCCCACGGACTATGTTCTCCTCTCAGCTGTCATCTGTCAGGCTAACCCAACCCATCACCCACACTCCCTCACTTTGCTCTCCCTCCTTCCCTCCCTCACCCCTCCACCACTCCCTCCCTTAACTAAGTACCCCTGAATTCATCCTTTCTTCCTTCCCCGTTTGTGTGTGTGTGTGTGTGTGAAAGGAGTCTCACATACACATAACCATCACCACCCACCACCGTCATGATCATCATACATCATCATCATCCCCGACATCACCACTTTCACCATCACCAGTTCCAGCCCTCACCACCTCCACCACCATCATTACCACCTCCACCTTCATCATCACCACCTCCACCACCATCATCATCACCACCTCCACCACCTTCTACCACCTCACCATCACCAACCTTGAATCCATCACCACCACCACAATCATCATTACCTCACAACCATCACAACTCCCACCACCAGACACCATCACTCATCACCATTGCCTATCAGCACCATCCTCCACCAACATAACCACCATCACCACCCCATCATCGCCACCTCCTACTATCATCATATCCATCAACCACACCCCCATCCTCCAACACTTTCACCCACAACACCTATCCCCACCACAACATCTACCCTCAGCACCCAACATCCCCACCACAACACCTATCCTGACACCCAATCACAACCCCCAAGCAAACCACCACAACACCTATCCCCACCCTCCAACACCCCCACCCCAACACCTATCCCACCTCCAATACCCCCACCCCAACACCTATCCCACCCTCCAATACCCCACCCCAACACCTATCCCCACCTCCAATACCCTCACCCCAACACCTATCCCCACCCTCCAATACCCCACCCCAACACCTATCCCCACCTCCAACAATTCCCCACCCCAACACCTATCCCACCCTCCAATACCCCACCCCAACACCTATCCCACCCTCCAATACCCCACCCCAACACCTATCCCCACCCTCCAATACCCCACCCCAACACCTATCCCCACCTCCAACACCCCACCTCCAACACCCCCACCTCCAATACCACACCCCAACACCTATCCCCACCTCCAATACTCCCACCCTCCAACACTCTCATCTCCCAATCTTCACCCCAACACCTATCCCCACCTCCACACCCCACCCCAACACCCATCCCCACCCTCCAATACCCCACCCCAACACCTATCCCCACCCTCCACTCCCACCCCAACACCTATCCCACCCTCCAACACCCCACCCTCCAATACCCCACCCCAACACCTATCCCCACCCTCCACACCCCACCCTCCAACACCCCCACACCCTCCAATACCCCACCCCAACACCTATCCCCACCCTCCAACACCCCCACCCTCCATCACCCCCACCTCCAAACCCCACCCCAACACCTATCCCCACCTCCAATACCCCACCCCAACACCTATCCCCACCCTCCAATACCCCACCCCAACACCTATCCCCACCCTCCAATACTCCCACCCCAACACCTATCCCCACCTCCAACACCCCACCTCCAATACCCCACCCCAACACCTATCCCACTCTCCAACACCCCACCCTCCAAACCCCCACCCCAACACCTATCCCCACCCTCCAACACCCCCACCCCAACACCTATCCCCACCCTCCAATACCCCACCCCAACACCTATCCCCACCCTCCAATACCCCACCCCAACACCTATCCCCACCCTCCAACACCCCACCTCCAACACCCCACCTCCAATATCACACCCCAACACCTATCCCACCCTCCAATACCCCACCCTCCAACACCCCACCACCTCCAATACCCCACCCCAACACCTATCCCCACCTCCAATACCCCACCCCAACACCTATCCCCACCCTCCAATACCCCACCCCAACACCTATCCCCACCCTCCAATACCCCACCCCAACACCTATCCCCACCTCCAACACCCCCACCCTCCAATACCCCACCCCAACACCTATCCC